TCAGGTTACTACAAACCCCCCCCCCCCCCCCCCCAATTTATAGGGCTTTCTCCAAGCTCTTTTCTCTTTCTTCAGCACTGATTCTCCTTAATCGCTCATCGTGATCCCGGACTATCATCAATCATCTCATACACCCACTTTTTGAAACCAGAAGCCGAGATTTTATTATTTTCCCCTCCTTTCCCGCTGCTTTTGCCTGTTGTACATTCACTCTCTCTGGAGCAATCACCAAATTTCGACGCATCATCCCTCCTTTTTTTTATTTCTCGCTTCCTCTTGTCATCTATCTGTCTCAGTCTTACCTGTTCCTCCGTTTTGGTGGCTTGAACCCTCTCGCTGAAGCTGAGAGCGACACGATGTCGTTTCTTTGTTAAGTAAAGAGTGGGCCGGGCTTCATTCGAGTCTTGGATGAATCAATCATCTTTTTTATATTTTGGGGCAGAAAAAAGAAATGGAATGGCCTCAGCCAGCAGAAAGCAAATTCAAATTTTTGTTTTTTCTTTTAATTTTTATTATAGAATCAAAATTTTTGTATTGTTATCTTAAGCATGTATTGACAATCTAAAATTTTACAAAAGTTGGAAGTGTGAAATGTTTAAATTAAGCTTTTGATAATTGAAAAAGGTAAAATAAAGAAAAGGTTTTAAAATTTACTTTAAGATACAAGAAGAAATTAATATATATATATACATACACATACAAACGAGAGAAGCTTCAAGGAAGTTTGTATCTTTTTAAAATTAGTAATTTTTCTTTTCAGAAAGAAAGGGTAATCTAATCCAAACTTAATGAGCATGTAAAACCTTTTAGAATTCAGACATTCATGTGATTAAAATCCAATAGCAACACACTAATTACGGAATCACATATATTAAACCTAACACCTCAACCTGCAACACATCTAACGGTACTTCATATATTTTTTAAAAAACAATTAATGTAAGCAATTGTCATATTTTTATCCTAAGATGCTAATTTTTGAAATTACAACTGTGAAAATCAATCATAAAATGGAGAATTAATTTCTAATAACTACATTATTTCAATATTCTCAATTTATAATTGAAAGTTATGCAAAAGAGATTTATTCACACTATCAACAATGAAATATCCCACTGATTCATCCTCTCACTTTGGTTCTTGTTTTACTTCTACCAGAGTGTTCTTGGTTAATTGCAATATAAATAATGTTTTTCTATGATAAATCACAAAAACATTATCGAAATTCAGTGTAAACTAAGAGAACATAATTTCATTTTTAAACACCACAAACATATGAATCAATTCTGCCCAAAACAAACACTGTTTTACTCCATAGTAATCGACCCTAATACAAAAGTTTAAGGAGCCCTTAGTTAAATCAAAATCAAACATTCTGGTTCTGTTGTGAGAATGAGGATGTGGAACTTATGATGAACTTGTAATGAAAGACAGATCCCTCAACACATGAAGATATATTTATTGATCACGACCATATTTGCATGCCTAGAATCACAGTTTCAATAAAGGGATGAGTTGATAGTTCAGGAAGCAAATGTGGGTAAATCTGGGTACCATGGCAGTTTCGATGCTGTCCTGGTTTTTGCAACAACAAGCAGACTACATGATATTTTCTTGTGTTTACAATGGATTTCAGGGGCATAGAACTTCCAACATAAAACTAAATGGTGAACAGCACATTCAGATTCTGTAGCTCCTACCTCTATCATGCATGCAACTATGTCTACTATGCAAAAGCAAGGCCCTCCTTTAGATTCTCATACTATCTTAAGAGCATCCCTTTCAACTTTAAAATATTTGTAAGAGGGGGAAAATCATCCAACCCATATCATATTTTCAAGAACTTAAGAGCAGACGTAGACCCAGCAAGTATGCATGATCAGATGAAGCTAAGAATCATACCAAGAGTTTCTGAAAACTAAATGGTAAAGAGCAAAAAAGAAATTGTATTAAGAAAAAACATATTGCCCAGGTGGATAATTCTTGCCAACTAACTAAGGATCTTCAACAGCTGAACAAATGCAGAAAAAGAAATTCACATTGGAGAATATTACCAGACTAGACTAGAGATGAGTTTGAATATCAAAAAGAACAAAACTGCAAATATATGACATTGGATTCAAGTTGCTAAAATGGTGAAAACTAATTTGAGCATATAAAGTTTGACACCACTCAAAAAGAAAAAGAAGTGCATTGTTTTCCAGTATCACTCAATGATTGACTGAATAACACCAGCCCCAACAGTCTTCCCACCTTCTCTAATAGCAAACCTCATTCCCTGCTCACAAGCAACAGGCACAATAAGCTCCACAACCATCTTGACACGGTCACCGGGCATAACCATCTTCGACTCTTCATCCTTATCGTTCATAATGGAAGTAACCTTGCCGGTGACATCAGTAGTCCTCATGTAAAATTGTGGCCTGTATCCAGCGAAAAATGGCGAATGCCTTCCACCCTCCTCCTTCTTCAATACATACACAATTGCAACAAATTTAGTATGTGGGGTAATGGTTCCTGGCTTAGCCAAAACCATCCCTCTCTGGATATCAGCCTTCTGGATACCCCTAAGCAACAATCCAACATTATCCCCAGCCATAGCCTCATCAAGAATCTTCTGAAACATTTCCACTCCAGTAACAGTGGTATTCCTAGTTTCCCTCAATCCAACAAGATCCACTGTATCCCCAACCTTAATTGTACCTCTCTCAACACGCCCAGTAGCCACTGTACCGCGCCCAGTGATTGAGAAAACATCCTCAACGGCTAACAAAAAGGGAAGATCAGTCTGTCTTTGTGGGATGGGAATGTAACTATCTACTTGTTCCATAAGTTCATAAATCTTGTCTACCCATATATTCTCACCCTTCTTAATGTTAGGATTAGCCATTAAGGCCTCCAAAGCTAACAAAGCAGAACCAGAAACAATAGGCACATCATCCCCAGGGAATTCATAAGAAGATAGTAACTCACGCACCTCCAACTCCACCAGCTGCAAGAGCTCCTCATCGTCGACCTGGTCCTGCTTGTTCAAAAAAACGACCATGTTAGGGACACCCACTTGCTTGGCGAGCAAGATGTGCTCCTTGGTCTGAGGCATGGGTCCATCGGCGCCGGAGACGACGAGAATAGCACCGTCCATCTGAGCAGCACCAGTGATCATGTTCTTGACGTAATCAGCGTGACCGGGACAGTCGACGTGGGCGTAGTGGCGGCTCTCAGTCTCGTATTCCACGGTGGCGGTATTAATGGTAATACCACGGGCACGCTCCTCCGGGGCAGCATCGATTTCGTCATATTTTTTTGGGGCGCTGTTACCCATGGAGGCAAGGGCCATGGTGAGAGCGGCGGTGAGAGTGGTCTTACCATGGTCGACATGGCCAATGGTACCGATGTTGACGTGAGGCTTTTTGCGCTCGAACTTGCCGCGAGCGGCGCGGACAGTTAAAGAACGGCGGAGGAGTATGGGGGAAATTCTGGAGGAAGAAGTAGTGAAAGAGGGAAGGAAGGAGGAGGATAAGTGGGTATGAGTGAATCTGGGGTTTAGAGTAAGAGTAAGAAATTTAGTGTTTGAAGAAGGAGAAGAAGGAGAAGGGGAGGCATGGGGGCAGATAAGATTGGAGAATGAGACAGAAACCGCCATTGAATTTCTGGTTGAGAGAGAGGGAGAGAGGGAGAGAAGGAGAGAGGGATGGGTTGGTGCAGTAAGGTTTGGGGGAAGATTGGGAGGAGGTGGGAGAGGAATGGGAGGATTATATATTATCTCTTTCGTTTTGGGAAAATGGGGGGCTCAGATTACTCCATCTCTCGCAATGCTATCCACTCCATTTTATGATTCTGCCGTTGAGCAGTAAAACAGTCAAACCCTTAGCCCTTCTTTTGTCCAAATGTATTTTAAACGATGACTCTCGTTTCATACAAGATTTACCCATATTTATCTTAAATATAAAAATAAATATGAATATATACAACATATATATATAACTTAAATAAAATATATATATCATTTGTAATAAGTTGTAATTATTATATATATTTTTTGTGATTATGTAAGTACGATAATTAATATAGTTTTATTAATATAGTTTCGTAATAAAACGGGACCGTTGTCTTGATTGTTAAGTCCAGAGAGACTAAATCTCGGTGAACAAATAACGGATATGAGAATTTTTTTTCAACTGACAATATACATATATGTATATATAAATAGTATGTACATTGACACCCAAAATTTTTCAATCTTTGAAACTTTTCTAATCTTTAAATTACTTGAAAACCAGCCAGCCACTGAGAACTCATTGTTTATGCCCAAAAAAGAAAAAGAAAAGGAATTCATTGTTTATACTCCAAACCAAACAAATTGTGTTATAGATACAGTAGATATGATGTTTGTTCATCTCAGAACCTAAACAAATTCTTGTGAACTTTCAGTACAACACGGCAAGTCAGTGAAACTCTCTTCCTACTTCTACAAAAACTCCTGTCATCTCCATCTATTGTTTCAACAGCTTTTTCCCACTTACACAACTGGGTAGCTTCAAATTCATTTATAACCTAAAACAAGAAACATCATCAGCATGCCACTTCAAATCTAACCAAATATGAATTCCAACCTTCCAACGTCGTATCTTACCTCAGTATATCTATGTATTTTGCTATCTTGTATACCGTGCAAATACTCTGAAAGCGATACAAGTATAAGGCATAAGCTTATCAATTCTTATGTATATGCTATATTGTGTATTAACAAAGAAAACTGCAAGATGAACTTTACTTGAATATGCATCATCCTTAAAGATCACTAGGCTTCGAGGCATCAACAAGACAGAAAAAGGGTGGTGATTATCCTTCCATTCACCTGCCTTATTCAGAAAACATTCCCCACTGGAACATTGATTCTCAATGTTGTCCTTGAATGTATTACTGCAGACTTTTAGAGTGGGATGTGGAGTGAAGTTCATAACAACTGGTGATTCAAGAGACACGATTGCTACTACTGGAAAATAAGCAGGTCCATCCTGATGTGGCTGTATGTAAACAAGCATGGAAATAACGACTGTTATCTAAAATCTCAATATGAAATAAAATTAATTGTAATATGTCATGTTACCTTTGAAAGATACCCAGTGTTAAGCTATCAACCATTGGACACTTCTAAAATACTTTGCAATATTTACAAGAATAAACAAATGAACAGAACAGAAGGGCTCAGCACAAACCATTATCCCTTGATTAGGAAGGTATTCATTGATGAGAACATGATTAATTGCTGATGGAAACAACCCTGACTCCTCAGATATTCTTTCTGCCATCTTTGTCAGCCAAGGAGGCACTGTGAAAAAGAAATATGCATCTTGCTTCACTAAGTCACCAATAAGTTAAAAAAAAATACTACACTAACTCATGAATAATACCAGAAGATAAAATATAAATTATTAAAGAAGATATTTGAAGTTCACACATCAGTTGTGAGAAGAGAAGTTCTAAAATTGATTTTTAAGTTTTTCCTCTTGAACCTTTCTGTTTCCCTTTTGTTCCCCCACACAGCCGCGCCCCTCTCTCCCTTTTTTTGAAATAAAAAATGTAAAAGTATATTACTATAAGCACCAAGGGGTGCAAGCCATGTACACCCCTCCTCTCTGCCTTTAAGAATCTATATGCTCGCCTTCCCACTTTTCTGCTTCCCTGATGACAATTAATAATACATTGATTTAACCTTCCAATAAGTGATGCACCTAGATGACATCAATAGGCATTTATATCTAAGAATCTATATGCTGACTCTTAAGACTGCGTATGGAAAATACCAAAACTTACAATGCATCACTATTTTGTATAAATCGTTTTCCAGCAACCCCCTACTTGATTTAAATCATTTAACTTACATCTCAGTTTTATTGGGAGTCTAGGATGAAATGTGTATCAGTAAAGTTAGCTACATGGGTTGAACCTTTGCATACTGCAAACACACAATAGTTTTCTAGAAACTAAGTTGGCAATCTCGAGCATATGTGTTAAGTAGGAAATAAGTAGTTAAACCATGAAATTAGAAACCTTAACTTCTCTTACGTAGACAAATTTGAATTTAAAACTCATGATGGAAGCCACATATACATTCCTTTAACAGATTTTTGTACTTCTACAACTAGCACTTCTATGTTCGGTGTTTAACCCCTAAATTAATAAATGCTTCAAAGCCTACTTCAAATCTAGTATTAGTTGACTAGCTTCAACACTTGGGCAGGTCAGTCTATCAAGCATGCGTCCGATCACACACACAACCAAAATGGTCTGTAGACTTATTAATGAAATATCTCACCCTCAAAGACTTAAAATACAATACAGATTGGCTCTAAAATTAAATCTAAAACTACTACAAATCATAATTTTGTTAGATATAGAACTGCTATATTATTTTGAAGTCTATTATTATAATTTTAGTAATTTTTGAATTTTATGTTTGTTAGTATTTAACTTTTCTTATTTGCATTAGCAAGACTATTTCCTAATCCTAAAAGTGTTAATATTTTTAATCTAATCCTAGTTAGGAAATATTACTTATTACAAAAATATTTTTTTTTTATAGAAAAAGTATTATAGATATATTTATAAATTTACTTTTTAAACAAAATTTGAGTTATCTAATAAAATATGATGAGAGTTTCTCAATTTTTGTTAACAAAATACAATTGTACTTTAAATGTAATACTTAAAACTTTCTTAGACTTAAGAAACCGTTGGTATGATGTCTATCACAAAAATACTATGAGAGTTTGTAATTTATTTAGTGGAGCATTATAAATACATTTCTAAATTTACTTTTGAGTGTTCAGTTATTTAGTAAACTATTATGAGAGTTTTCTCAGTTTTTTTGTTTATATGATATATTAAATCTTTTAATGTGATGCTTAATACTTTATATATGAGATGTCTCACTAAGTAACTCTAGATGTGATGCATAAGTTTTTATCCCTAGATAGGCAAATTAACCCAACATCAACTTAAGACACATCTCCATAAAGAAGAGAAAACAAACCAAAACCACATAGATGAAGGTGACTCTTACTTCAATCAAAGAAACATAGGTAACACATAGCTATTCCAAAAAAAACTAAACATACAAAAAATGATGACGACCTAGGAGGTAAGAAGAAAGAAGGATAATTATCTTTAACCAAGGGTTATGAAGTTTTAGAGAATAGAAATTCTACTTCTCCTTATCATTTCCATCACCATAAGATGTCAATTTATAGGAAAAATACAACCAAATTCTAACAAAAACCTAACAAAATTCTAATAACTTTATGAGAAGGAGGAATAACAAAATCGGTTATACCTCACCAACTTTGTGATTACCTCCACTAGGCTAAACACTAGGCTAATAACAACAAAAAATAAAAACTGAATTAATTCTTTTATTTTCTATACTTCCCCTCAATCTAATTTACGTATATGTTGAATAAACCTAAATTGGATGTTATGTCATCAAAGATTTTTTTTCGGTAGAGTCTTTGTTAGGATGTCTGCAATCTGTTTACTGGTTGGAATGTGCATCAATATTATAGTACCATCTTCTAACTTCTCTTTGATAAAGTGACGATCAATCTCTACATGTTTGGTTCTGTCATGGTGTACAGGATTCTTGGCCATACTGATGATTGATTGATTATTATACCAAACTTTTATAGGAATGTTGTTAGAACCTTTAGTTCAACAAGTATCCTTCTTAGCCACATATCTTCACATATACCATGAGCAAGTACCTTAAACTCAGATTTTGCACTTCTACAAGATACAACTGACTGTTTCTTATTGCGCCGGTGACCAGGTTTCTCCAAACATAAATACAATATCCTGATGTAGACTGTCTGTCATTTATTGAGCCTGCCCAATCTGCATCAGTATAGATTTCAACATCTCTTTTCACTGTTTTTTGAAAGAACAATACTTATTCTGGAGTCATCTTTAAGTAGCTTAGAATTCGATATACAGTTTTCATGTATTGCTCAGTTGGTTGATCCATGAATTGACTCACTGTATTTACTGCAAAACTGATGTCGGGTCTTGTATGTGCTAGGTGGATGAGCTTCCCAACTAGTCTTTGATGCCTTTCTTTATCAACTGTTTTATTACTGCTTTCGGATCCAATTTTGATGGTTGGATCCATAGGAGTGTCAGCAGACTTACTTTCTAACATCCCAGTCTTCTTCAGAAGATTTACAACATACTTTTGTTGAGATACCGAAATTCCCTTCTTAGATCTAACCACTTCTATTCCGAGTAACTACTTCAGTACTCCGAGATCTTTAATTTAAAACTCTTTGCCTAAGAATTCTTTGAGCTTCAAATCTTCTCAATATGATCTCCTGTAAGGATAATATCATCTACATATACAATCAAGATAGTTTTTTTATCCGAGGTACAATGCTTGACAAATAGTGTATGATCAAACTGACATTACTCATATATTTCCCGTTTTACTGCTCTTGTGAATCTATCAAACAATGCCCTTGGAGATTGCTTTAGACTATAGAGTGACTTTTTCAGCTTGTACACTTTCTGAGAACTATCTGCTAGTTCAAATCCTGGTGGTAGGTCCATATACACTTTTTCCTCTAGATCACCATTAAGAAATGCATTCTTCACATCTAGTTGATAGAGTAGCCAATCAAGATTAGAGGTAAGTGAGAGAAGTACCTGAATTGTATTGTATTTGGCTACCGGAACAAATGTCTCTTGATAGTCTATCCCATATGACTGAGTGTAGCCTTTAGCTACTAATCGACCTTTATACTGATTCACACTTCCATCTGGATTGTATTTAGTTGTGAAGACCCACTTGCACCCTATTTGTTGTTTTCCTGAAGGTAGATCAATTAATTCCCATGTTCCGTTCTTTTCAAGTGCCTTGATTTCCTCTTGAACAACCATCCTTCATTCAGGTATTTTCAGAGCTTCATGGATTGTTTTAGGCTCTGGTGAGCTACTGTTTAACCTGCACATAAAAGCATGATATTCCAAAAATAACTTGTGTAATGAAACATAGTCTCGTATAAGGTGTTTGGGGCATGTTCGAGTCCCTTTTCTCAAAACAATAGGCATGTCAATGTCAGTATCTGTAGTAGGAAATAAAATCTCATTACTTGTCAATTTCTGGCACCAGGATCAAGAGTGGATTCATGGCAAGGCTAGGATGATTTAGGTGCCTTCCCTTTGTTTCTTCTAATATAGACACGTAACTCACTAGTTGCAAGTACTGTATTCTCTGTAATTGGCTTTGGTTCACGTTCTTTATGTGACGTTGTAGTTCACGCTCCAGAAAGGATTTATCTGGTGGAGGGTGACTCTGTGGATATAGAGGAGATTGTTTACATTCCACAATTGATATTACTGAGTAATATCTCTCCCTAATATCAGTTGTGGGGTAAAATGGTTGGTTTTAAAAATGTGACATCCATTGTGTTATAAATCAACGG